GACGAAACATGGAGATAAAACAACCGGGTATGAATCGGCTTAGGGATAAAACCACGCGAATTTTCTCTTCGGATTTGCTGTGGCTGTCTAAATTTGTTCATGTCTCTCACATTACTCCATGTTGGTTTGTATAGTACACACTGGGGCAATGTGCTGAGATCCGCTATAGACATTCCTCATCTCTGGGCCGCTGACTAGTTCTCAATTCTATAGTATCTCTCATCGTGGAAAGGACCTCGAAACTGGTCATCCGACCTTCGGCAAACAGGTCGGCGCAGATGAATGGACAACTCTTACGACACTCATTTAATCATAAATGGGCACTGTGCGTCATTGGGGAGTAGCGGTTCATTCCGTTCGGTGGATGTGCGGGCATCTGCGCACGAACTGATTATCTCACTTGCGCTGTTGGGGATCGGAACCACAACGTTATCCGTGTAAACAAGTTCCATGAGTTACAAGGCTGCGCAGACTCGTTTGGAGATTGTAGATGCTTTGTTTGGATGTCAACACCCGGGCCGAGTTCGGGGAAGTACATACTGTACTTTGTTGCTCCAATCGGGTCATAATTAAATGGTGGATGTTTGTGAGTAGTGTAAAGTTCGAAGAAAGTAGAAGCCACGATTAAAATTCACGCACAATAATATGCCTCGACGGGGAGTCGAACCCCGGTCCACGAATTTCCGGTCCGTTGCTCTACCACCTGAGCTACCGAGGGCTGACGATTAGGTGCGCAAATTTTAACACATGTCTTCTGCTTGGTGCGCGACGTGTTGCCAATAAGCTCACAGTACCTGTCCTGATGTTGCAGATCGGCTCACTCACCCGTCACTTCCCAATAGACCGAAGTTCCTGTCCTTCAGACGTCCAATGGGCGAGAGTAGATTAATGGTGGATGTTTGTGAGTAGTGTAAAGTTCGAAGAAAGTAGAAGCCACGATCTGCAACATCAGCACAGGTACTGTGAGCTTATTGGCAACACGTCGCGCACCAAGCAGAAGACATGTGTTAAAATTTGCGCACCTAATCGTCAGCCCTCGGTAGCTCAGGTGGTAGAGCAACGGACCGGAAATTCGTGGACCGGGGTTCGACTCCCCGTCGAGGCATATTATTGTGCGTGAATTTTAATCGTGGCTTCTACTTTCTTCGAATCATAATTAAATGTTTGAAATGTGCTGCACGTTTATCCCCGGATTGGTTAGCAGCCCTGGGCTACGCTCGATGCGAGTTTCGACAAAGTGCCTACATCTACTATCTCGACTACTAGTTCCCGGAGGCTGCTAATCGTTACTGATGGATGTGGCGTGTACATTCATCGTGACGCCGCGAATTTCAGAGCGTGGTTTCGTCATGGAATGAGCTATGACCCAGTTTCAGCACCACTTGCATCTGGTATGCCAGATTACCTAAAGTTTTCATCAGCGATGTACATGTGGGATGATTTTAGCTGTCTCCGAATCAATCGTGGCACCCATCCACATGCCCTTCGGTACTATTCCTTGTGCATCGGTGATGCAGCGCAAGGTTCTGCGGATGTTCACAATTATAGCGACAGATGAAGCTGGGAATCGATGGCGCTGACACATTAACATTATTGCCCAACCTTATGGTGATTGCTCATGCAGCCGGTGCACAAGCCAGAACAGCGGTACAGCATGTGGCTACACATGCCATAACTTTCAACGCCATCGGCCTGTTGCCGAAATGATTGCACACTTGCATTGCAATCATGAGGTCGCCGGTTCGAATCCGCGTAGATGCAGTTGACCTTGTGCTGTACCAAGCCCACGCTCGACCGATGGTGGTTGCGATGTGCCGACTTACTGCTGATGTCTTACTTTCAACATCACAGGGATAGTTGCCTGTGTGCGTCTTCCGCGTTCAGATTGGTAGACGGATCCCACTCCTTCAAGGTTCAAATTCTGCTTAATCTTTGCCAACATTTGAAACATTACTCCTTTACCTGCTCCCAATCCTTTTCCTACTGGATCGTCGAATGTCACTTAGTGAGTCGGCGTCTTCAATTCGACTGCCGTGAGCGTGGCATCGACTACGAACCCAAACCCAAGGCAATGTTATACTAGAGTCACTCCTCTGTTCTCCCTAATATGTCACTCTCACTGTCCGCTTCACGACACTGTATTTTATCATTTTGTCGCAAGTCCAACGTGATATCTGGAGGTAACGCTGTTCCAAACTGACATTTTCGACAAGTAAGATGGCAAGTATTTATTTGTGGAACTTAGCTTACAGGCAGTCGGACTTTGTCTGATGTAAACCCAGAAACCAAAACACGATATTCACTGAGATTTCACATCGCAGTCAAAACACACCGGGCGATCCGAACCCGAGCCTAAGTCCATAGCTGATAGTGTGACAGGCGTCACTTGTGGAGCTTAATGAAAAGGACATCACCTGACGACTGCTTAGTTCACAGTTCGGGTCCCATATCCAAATGTCATTGTCATAAGAGGGCAAGAATTCCACCGATCATGTGACACGCTACTGAGAGTATGCGGCTACAAATCCTTCATTAGATGGCAAGTTGAACTGAACGATAGGAGCGTGCCTTAATAGGCGATTGGGAAACACACTAACAGCACATTCGAATAGCGTACGTCACATAATCCTTAATCACAAGATCCCAACGCCGATTCAATGTGTTCTGTGGTGATATGCCTGATTAGTGCTGGGAGCCACGCACTAAAAGTTGATTTCCCTATTTTAAAAGTCTGGTAAGCGCGTGAAACCCTAAGGAGACGTATGTAGTCGAAGCTTTTTAAGGTCTGTCTGGTGGGTATCCTTATTTCGCCGGCACCAGGTACCACCAACTGTGCTAGCAAGCTCGTCAGCAAAGACCATTCCTCGTTCGTACGGTTTACAAACGTCGCGCCATGTATGTACGCGGCATAGGATAGCGGTTGACAGACATTAAGCTTCTCAAACGAATGTCATAGCAAGTGAAAAAGTCCAGAGTGGTCAAAGCAGAAATTTATCGGGATCCGAGGTACAAGCCTCCCAAATGCCACACAGGATCAGGGGAGCACGAAAACACCATGGCACTCTACCGAAATTTCTAAAACAGTTTTTTTAATTTCACGTCCGGTTAAACTGATATTTGCAGAGCCCACGGGACAGCCGCTGCTCCTTGAGCATGGTGAAATCCGCCTTTCATTGCTCGTCGTTAGTGGAAATGGTTGGTTTCCTCAGCCAGGGATACTGCGAGATCACTCGCATGCTCGAGCCAGCAATGTCTAGACTACATCCGGACAACTCATTCACCGGTCCGAAGCTTGTCAGTGGCATTATCATGAATAAAAGAGAATGATGCTTCGCAAGTCAGCTGGTAAATCAGGCGACCATTTACAACCGTTGTCTATGGCACGTGAAGGATGACGAGGGCGCTTGAAACGCCGGATAGTGTGCAATCGGTTTCACCATAACACCAACACTGCTGAATGTGGCTGTTGTGAGGTTGCTTGAAACTCCTAGGATATCTCGCAGATTGGAAACGAAGAATTTAAAGGATCAGGGGAGCACGAAAACGCCATGCCACTCTACCGAGATTTCTAAAACAGTTTTTTTAATTTCACGTCCGGTTAAACTGATATTTGCAAAGCCCACAGAGCAGCCGCTGCTCCTTGAGCATGGCGAAATCCGACTTTCATTGCTCGTCATTAATGAAAATGGTTGGTTTCCTTAGTTTGTTCGAACCTATCCACGGTTTGACTGCGCCGATAGCTTCGCGCGCACCCATTATTTTACTGCTTTGGGCCACTAAGTGCTCTCAGTTGACCTCACACTGTCCTCCTAGTGTATGACGTACATGCACAACTGTGAGAACATACATTAGCTGCCTAAGTTACGCATCGTTGACTTGTTCCGGCCAAGTAGTCAGGCAATCCAACGGCTGTAGCCATAGCTAAAATCCAATTTTTGAGTAGGCCAGTACTTGCAACGTTTCCACAGTTAATCTGCGCAGATTGACTTCACCATTCTCATCCGATAGGCTTGCCAACCTGGTGTTCGGATTCCCAGGTATCCATTGCAAGCATAAACGTCGAAATGACGTGTTGCAAGCAGTCATCACGGACACAGGCAAATTATTTTCCCATTAGCCACCGCCAACCACATCAGTCAGAAAACTGTGTACGTTTGTGAGTGCACCTTTTGACAGCCAGTCCAGTTGATCATCAACACCGCTACAAGTTTGTTCACGACTCATAAATACGCTTATTACTTGCGGTCAAATGTTCCAGCATTTCATGCAATAGGCAAACATGACTGTACTCGCAATTAATGCCTCACCGGATCTGGACTTCGAGTACTCCATGCACAAGCCGCACTACTCCCAATCTGCTAGCGTCCATACAACTACAAAAACATGTGCCAAGGACGCTGACTGACAATATAGAATTGCTTGACACTGAATTACTTAAACAATACACCAGAACGCCGACTCTCGTGACTTGTTACAACGCGATTCATCTTCACAGAGCAGTGAATTTTCTTCAACAATCCCCAGTTGTTTGTGTTCACGCTTAGAGTGCAGAACTGATCGCAGTCACATTTGGCTCGTCTAATCACTTACACGTCCACGATTTTATCGCACAACTGTGTTCTTGTTTGTACTAATCGGTAAACTGTCGTCATTGTGCTAATTCTGTCCTGTAGCGTGGGAGATGCCCTATTTCCGGCGCAATTCAATACTATTTTGCTGTTCCACCTAATAAATCAATCATATGATGACAGTTTGCCTTCTTAACCGTATGCGAACGCACCACACTCGTTTGGCCGTACCGATTGCAATTGCCCACCCATGTCTCCTACCTGAACGACTATCTCGCGATTAGAAGCGTTAATTGGCATGATTTGCTGTTTGGCTTTTGTTGATAAACAACGTATCACATGTGAACAGTCCGTATGCAATAGCAAATCGGATCGACCTGATTTGGATGTGCACACATTCTGACCTACCTACCTCGTTTCAAATTTTTCCAGCTATCTTGCTGTGAGACGGAAGCGGGCCGCAAAGCCGCATGTTGTCAAGGTCCAATAATAAATGACACCCACGAACCGTGTCCCTGCAAAACTACCTGTTGGTCTGTGGTAGAACAAAAATTGGAGCGTGGAATTCGGGTGATCGGTACCATTGGACTGTTTTTCAGCGTTGTTGAAGTGAGTTTTCTTACAATACTAAACTCCGCCCTTTAATGGGCTAGACCACATCTCAGAGGACCTTTAGGTTATTACACTAGAGCAGGGATATTCAAAGTCCGGCCCGCGTTAACATTTCAGCTGGTCCGCGGCTTCGTTATGAAATAGAAAATTCTGGCTTGAACTCTTTTCTTACACATGTAATTTTTGTTATTATCTTAATGTCAGGTTGAATATGGCCCATCGTATTTTTACCTCACAAAATGTAGCCCTCCTTGCAAAATGGTTTGGACACCTGCACTAAAGTAACGCAGTGTTAACAATCGCCACTTCGGAGATGTTCATGGGCGATTCAATGCGAATAAGTACTGCTACCTAATGCAGTACGTTTCCGTCCTGTTGCAGCTTTTTAAGAGTAGTCGTGAGGAACCCGCTACAACCAATTGTCGTTGGCTCACTGTGCATACCACAGCTTCGCATGTGTTGCGGGATAGTGTATTCAGTGATGATTTCGGGCGATTGCAACCCCATAAACCATCTCCATCAGATGCGAGCATATGCGCTTGTCGGTGGCACTAAAGATAATTGACGTAATAGTCGAACTACATAACCATGGCCATGACTTGCACGCTGAAGTCAACACAAGGACGGAACTGGTCGAGGAGCGTAATACTGGGAGCTAGCGACGTCGGATCTCTACGTAGCGATTGTCCAGTCGGTCATTTCACACTAAGCGATGATTCGCAAACTGATTCACTACGATCCGTGCACCAAAACACAATGGATCCAGCACCCATAGTAATCCCAAAAAGAGGACAAACAGTAATCCGACGAATATGATTAAATGGCCCGTCAAGCCACTAGGAATGATGTGAACGGGTAGAAATTTAGACATCGACAGTACGCCTACACGCTGTATTTAAGTTATTGTCACAGGACTATCAAAATTTTGCGGACTAGGTATACTGCTCTATGGTGATTAGTGGTGGGACGCACGCACTAAAAGGTGATTTCCCTGGCAAGCGCGTGAAACCCTAAGGAGACGTATGTAGTCGAAGCTTTTTAAGGTCTGTCTGGTGGGTATCCGTATTTCGCCGGCACAAGGTACCACCAAGTGTGCTAGCAAGCTCGTCAGCAAAGACCATTCCTCGTTCGTACGGTTTACAAACGTCGCGCCATGTATGTACGCAGCACAGGACAGCGGTTGACAGACATTAAGCTCCTCAAATGAATGTCATAGCAAGTGGAAAAGTCCAGAGTGGTCAAAGCAGAAATTTATCGGGATCCGAGGTACAAGCCTCCCAAATGCCACGCAGACTGGAGAGTGACGAAGAGTTTAAAGGATCAGGGGAGCACGAAAACACCATGGCACTCTACCGAAATTTCTAAAACAGTATTTTATTTTACGTCCGGTTAACCTGGTCCTTAAAGAGCCCACGGGATAGCCGCTGCTCCTTGAGCATGGCGAAATCTGCCTTTCATCGCTCGTTATTAGTGGAAATGGTTGGTTTCCTCAGCCAGGGATACTGCAAGATCACTCGCATGCTCAAGCCAGCGATGTCTAGACTATATCCGGACAACTCGTTCACCGGTCCGAAGGTTGTCAGTGGCATTATCATGAATAAGAATGATGCTTCGCAAGTCAGCTGGTAAATCAGGCGACCACTTACAACCGTTGTCTATGGCACGTGAAGGATGACGAGGGCGCTTGAAACGCCGGATAGTATGCAATCGGTTTCACCATAACACCAACACTGCTGAATGTGGCTGTTGTGAGGTTGCTTGAAACTCCCAGGTTATCTCGACTACTTATTTAATATCGATAAATTGCCCAAGCGGGCTAAATATTATAAGGTAGCTAAAGACACAACAAGGAGAGCCATACCACTGGGAGACCATTCTGCCTTCTGTACAACACTAGAATGCTGACAGTGAGGAATGAGACGCGCCGTATCGCCGGTAACAGCTTAGCTAGTTAGTCCACCACTATCACTAACGGCCACTCTGCGGATTCATGCGGCACCGCGCTGTTGTCAAACAATACACACTAGAGGCGCATAACCAGAGAATGTAATTCGGTCCACAGTTACACCAGGGAGTTTGTCACCGAATGCCAACACCAGTGTCCGTGTCTCTTATCCAAAGAGCAACGGTGCCGATTTGAACTCCCAGACGGCAAGCCGAGGCCTTTTAGTCTCTTTCGCATGAGCATCCTAGACATGCACAGCAGCACCCTCGATTAAATTTCCACGAGTGAAAACGTGCGTGAATGAATCACAAAGCGGTGTCACTTGTAATGTTAATTTGTGAGCGTCACGTTGAGATGTCTGCGACTTCACTGTCCACCGAATCACAGCAATGAAAGTGGCATGCACGAGACAACAATGCTGGTTCAGATAAGATGTTCTGAAAAACAACGTTGGCGCCCAGAAAAGGACGTAGACACCTGAACAAATGATTCTCGATAGACTCTTCAGCTTCCGCTACACTTTTTCGTTATCACTGTAGTTGATAAACCGAACCACATCCGTGTTTTATGACTGACATTTTTCCGTTTCTTTACAGCTGATGGGAGTTTGGCTAGCTTTGCAGTACAGGCACAAACGCGATCCTTCCGTTGATCCATACCGCGTGCTATGACTTTTCGTAACCATGACTGCGCGATTCCGCGCCGCACTGTGGGTGTTACAACGCAATCACAGAGTACTCGCGCCACATCTGTGCTACCTTCCTCGATACCACAATATTGTGTTACCATTTGCAAGTCCATACCCTGGCCATTCCACCACTTTCGTGCAAACCTTATGTCCGCTTATTTTCACCGTCGCAACCTGTACACGCTTCGCAATCCTGTTTCTTATCTCGATACTCCCATTAAAAATGTGAACGACAAAGACCGCGGTCTCATTCGCATATGTTGAAAAAATATTACTGCTGTTCCTCTCGAAATTGGTGATATCATTCGCGAATTTGAGTCCGTTTCGTTTGTCTCGTAGGACGCCAAACTGTGTTTGGTGGCTGTGAGATGTTCCGTTCAATAACTAAACGTTTTAAATTGATGAAAATTGAAACATTGCGCGTACGGGCAATTACACCGAATGCATAAGGGAGATCAATGTGCTCATAAATGTTCCAAAAAAGAGAGACTGAGATATAGAGGAAGAGATGGCGGAAGTGGGAGCAATCAATAGAAACCATGCGACACACAAACAAAACGTTGTCTGTCTAGCTCTGTTCACACACCAAGTGAAACAACACAAACACTGAGGTATGCGCGCGAAGGAAGTTGTTTGAAGGGTAGCGAATGCGGGAGTTAAAATTTCATGTGTAAAAAATTTACTGATATACCAGCAGGAGGCGACATTCGCACAATGTCTCAAAATGACCTGATAACTGTTAGCAAAATGTACTGTCAACAAATGCCGTGAAAAATGAAACATTGGGGAGAGGAATGAACCGAACAATGAAGATTAACGACGATTTACGCGGTTCTATACCTTGGGGTAGTAGACTCGCCCAAACATTTTCTTAATTGTATAGGGGAGCTCTTAGAGCTATATATTAATACCAACAGTTGCACTCACGGGGCAGTGACTGCAAAGGCTGAGTGGATTATTTACAATGGGCCAACGCTGCTCTGTCAAATGCACGTGAAGAACACGATGCGTGCAACCAGGATCGTCAGAATGAGCATTGTGCGTGGAAGAGACGCACACAAGATGGTATTATAAAAGGGTGGGGGGAGCTATGAGTAATCTGATTCCAATTAGAAAGGACAAAAGTGTTGTGAAAAACCAAACTTGGGAATAGGAGAAACTGATAAGCAGGAGAGGGAAATGCGTGGAATTTCATTCAAAGTGACACACGGGGGAGCCTTGAGATCGAGTGTTGTGTGTGTGTGTACACGAATTCGCCTGCCACCTGAAGTGACTGCTGATGGGTAGTAGTCGAATTTCACGACCGCTGGTGCATGTCGATATTTGGTGGGGAGGAGAAGGTACATACGATCCCGATGCTTTTGTGTGTCAAAGTTATGACGCACCAGAAGCAAAGATGACTTCGTATAAGTTTGCGCGTTTGTCGCCGGATCCGGTGACGACAAATTTATCGTCCGGTGAGATGTCGCACGTGAGAACTGAAGCGGCTTCTTTGGTCTGCACAATAAACAATGCTAATGGGTTAACGAAAGTGATAACAGAATAGTCACTGGTCTTAGGAAAGTCAAAACTTAAGTGAACTTAAAGTGGACCACAAGCTTGTGATAGTAGAATGTTCTGAGATAAACGTCCCACGGGAGACAACATTGAGATGACGTAACTCTAAATCAGCAAAATGGGTGAATATCCGAGTACAGGTTTTATCAAAGGCCTTGGTTCGAAAACAAAGTTGTCTGTGTCGGGATAGTGCATTTTATCTATCCTGCTTTGGTCTCGGGTGCTGATGTGTCCGCTAGCCAACCGTGGGAGTTTTTCGGAGCGAATGGCACAACCGCTAAAGGTAACACCATTTCAAAGTATTTGTGCTTACGTAAGGGAATTTCACACGATAGAAAATTTATTTACTCTTGAGACTGAGTCCTTTGTACGGCAGAACGGTGAAATCTAATCTACACTCTGAATTTGGACAATCCGTGCAATTGCATGTGATCTTGGAATTTCAGGCGGGTCGCTGGAAGCCGGCTCGGTTCGAGCTATGACGGAAAAGTTTATTTGGCATTCGGGAGTTTTGATGATCGTTTAGCAGTCAGTATCAAAAGCATTAGCGAGATAAATGGTAGGCCTTTTAAAGCCTAAACCAAACTGCGTAGAGCGTAGTATACCTCACCCGATGTGAGAACGAAAATAATTGCCATCGTGATAAGCGCTGGTCAACAATCTGTACAGCTGAAAGCAATCGTTTGCTAAAAATCAATACGTGACTGCCAACTTGGCGACCATCCGGTAACAACACGCCTTGAGGTGTATACACACAGATCACATTCAATTCAGCACATCGGGGTGGAAAGAAGACAGGGACGTTCTCAGACGGAAAAATATGTCCACACAAGTACATTTTTTTAAAAACCGTCGCTAGTAATTACGGTGGTGAAAATTGAAGGAAGAGTTTAAGATGCAGTGTGTCTGTGAAATCGATCTGTCACCGAGGCACGATAACAGAGATGATGACAGGCAAGTGATGCGGACGTTTTAAGTAGCAATAACTGTCCGGAAAAGAGTACAGGGCACAGTGAGTGTAGCTCAACGCTACAATCACGATGCGTGTGTGTGTGTGTGTGTCAGATAAGGATACTGGAATGAAAAACCATATCGTTACGGTGTGTACACTTGATATTTCCAGATTGAAGAATCTGCAGTAGTTAAAGTTGGAAAGTTTAACAGCAGATCCGACGGGGCGAAACGGCGACGGAGCTAGGATGTATGTACTACACTTGTCTGTGAACGCCACCTGGTGGGAAGATCGTGGAGTAACGTTGAGACTAGGATGAAATGCAATTACAAATTGATTCAAGACGAGATGCTGTTTGGTAAACTTAGACCGGGCACTAGTGAATAAAGTTTGTCCTAAAATCTTCATCGAAACCTCGGGCATTTGATACCATACTAATTGTATGTCACACCGATACACTCATGTGGCCAATTAATAAAGTTGCGAAAATTGCAGCAGTTGGCTCCACACGAAACGCTATCATAAGGCTACAAGAGCGGAGATTCGTCGAATGACCAATTTGCGGATATTCCACACACAAAACTTAGTGTACACATGTGCTTTATCGAGCGCGTTATGAAATGTGTCCGCCACCGCATCCTTTCTCGAAGCGCAAAAAATGTACCCCATATGGACACAAGATGGTTTATAGGCCGACAGTCTATCAAGATTTAAAAATAGTGATTTCAGTGGGAAGCAAAAGTGAAACCCGAGCCGCAATGAACATTAAATTTGTCACTCGGTGAGTTAAAAAAATTAATTCCAAAATAGAATCGACCGGTATATCGTCTGATGCTTTTCATATTAGCGAGGCGGAAAGGCAACCAGCTGTTTGGGGTGGGATAAGCAGGTGCTGTGTGTACGTGTGATTGCTAACAGGTTCGCAAACGCAATACAACTCAGTGAACAACATGTCAACGAGACGGAATGAGACTTACTTCAAGTAGGCAAGCTCCATAAGGAGTACGCCAAGCGTTCACTTGATGATCTTTGCCTGTAGTCAAGAACCAATCAGCATGGTGCGCGAACCTCAAAGCCAGCACACAACTTTCATGTCGCGTCAGCCGAAAATGTTGCGGCTGCGGGCTGGATGTGGAATAAGACAGAGGCGACATGGTAGAACTGGACTCATCTCGTAACCCTGAGCTTGGAGTTATCGCCGGTCCGTCTGGTCCAATGGCCACGACCTCAACCTCCGATGATTCTAACCCGACAGCTAACCAACTGCCGTTGGTCCCGGCGCACCTGGGGAAAGCTCCGGAAGCGCTACCACCAACAGAAAGGGGACTTGAGGTATCCCTCAAGAGCCCAGTGCTGGAAGCTGAGTCTCCATCGGCAGAACGCGGTGATACGGAAGACGTCTGACGTCGACTGTTGAGCAGACTGCTGTGTGGCGAGGAGTGGCCGACAGTCAAGCCGAGTGAGAATACTTGAGATTTGAATTCCATGTGGTTCAAGGGACGTGGTGGCTGAAAGCAAATTGGAAGATTGAACGCAATGCCCCGAGTAGAATAATCATCCCCCACAAGAGATGCGAGGGCGAAAAAGTAAATCTAACTGCTATACCAATCCCATATGGGATTGGTAGGATTCTAATCAAAGGCTTACCAAGCATGGAGTATGTTTGTTGCTGTCAGCAAAAAGCGAGAGTGTCAGGGATGAATAATTGCGTACAGGATGCTTGACAGATAAAGACAGAATGAGTGCACAAATGATGCGTGCCAGTGCTTTCTCCAAATGCAGTTGTCTGCCAGATTAGATAAAAAAAGCAATCACAGCCTGTTTTCGACATCGCTAAAAGCTGCACTCAGTTCAGTTGAACAAGTATGATCGGAGCACTGAAGTGTGGTGGATACAGTTGCCACGACCGACATCGCAAGAATGACAGTAAATAACAACGGCAAGTTAGTGGGGTTGAATGCAAAGAAAATGTAGGGAAAATAGTAGCAAAAAGAAACGAAGACTAACAACCAGATGCAGGAAACCGAGTGCGTGATTGCGCCATGCTTGATACGGTCTCCAAACATCGGTGTGGACCATTCTGAGGCTCCTGCACGAAGACGGCACGCAATAGCCTGACCAAGTCTCAGTCAATTTCTTCGTACTTCTATGCCGTCATTACTAGCCACCTCGCAGTTTCGCTCAACTTAATGCAGCCACGGCGTTTAATGCACGCCGAGGAAGCCGGTCAACGGGCATACGGAGAACATGGCCTAGCCAACGTAAGCGACTAAGATTCAGCAAACACTTCAGTGAGGCACCAGAAGGCTTCTTGCCAAATACCCACTGGCGGACCTCAGCATTGTGCACTCGGTGTTCCCACCAGATATGAGCAATACTCCGCAAGTACCGGTGATCAAACACGGCCAAGCGTTTAATGTCTTCGTCGCGAACTGGCCAGGTCTCTGATCCATACAATAAGACCGGCGTTATCGCAGCGTTATATACTTTAACTTTCACTCCCAGACTAGTATCTCGCCGTCTCCATAGATGGTTGAGTCTCTGGAAAACCAAACGGGCTTCAACGATGTGACCAAAGGTGGCACAACTACCAAGGTAAGTGAACCGATCCACCACTTACGGAGGATGCTCGGTAATAGCTAGAACCGGAGGCATGTGGGTCCCGTCATGCAGCACTTTTAATGTGCAAAGTACATGCCGAGGCATGCACCGCTACACGTTAATATATCCAGTAGTGTGTGCATAGTCACTGCGTCAGACCCAAGAAAAGCTGTCGGCTGCGTACTCCGGATTTGTCAGTTGGTTGAAGATGAAAGTAGATACAAGACAACATTGGTGAACTCCACTTGTCATGGGGAACTCAGGAGACAGCTTCCCGGAAATTCTTACCTGGCCTCAGAAGTCACGATAGAGACTGCATAATGTAAAGCAACTTAGCCGGCACGCCATTCAGAGTCGAAGGCAGCTTTCAAGTCAAGGAAAACCATCATAGCCAGTCGTCTGTAGATATGTGCCTGCTCAAAAACTTGGCGAAGAGTACATATGTACTCGATACAGCCACGACGATGGCGGAAGCCAACCTGGCTTTCAGTGATTCGATCCTCACTGGGACCAGTAAGTCGTTAGAGAATGATACCCGTGAGCAGTTTGGATCCAACGGAAACAAGGCTAACGCCTCCATGATTTTCGCACGAAGTACGCTGATCTTACTTGAAGATGAGCACGACATTTGATAGTCGGCAGCCTGAAGGCACTTCTTTAGTGTTCAAAGTCAAGTTACAGAGTATCAAATCCAGCCAGTAAAAAGTCACCACCATCTTTCAACAAAGATGGAGGAAGATCGTCGGGTCCAAGAGACTTGTTTCGTTTCAACACAGAAAGCTCATGTCGAATCTCTTCCAAAGTAGGTGTGACATCAACTTCCCACGTCGACTCAATCGATTCGACATGCTGCAGTGTCACAGTTGGCCTGCTAAACTGCTCTTTGAAATGTTCCGCCCAACGGGCTAGTCGACGACGATTAAAGTAAATCAACTGTCCGCATTTCTCGCCTATTGTCTCGCTAACTGATGGTTTTCTTCAAATTCCTGTTCCGGATGAGATGAAATAGTATCCAGATGTTCCCAATAGCATTGGTTTTCTCCATCCCACGGGCCCTTACCATCCACCAGCGTTCTCGATCGTTTCGAAGATTCCTTGTCAGACGTCATTTCGAGGTGACGGATATGCTGAAATTCAGTGCCTATCGGAACCTGATTCCGTGCTACGATCAGGATGATCGATGCCTCAGGGATCCATTTACAGTTACGACGTCTCAAATTGGGTGCATAGCATGCGTCAAAGACGCAATTCATGGCACATTTAGGACGATCCCAGTCAGCGTTCCGTTCACCAACCTCGTTCATCACCGACATTTGGTGGGCCAGTCGGTTTGTTGAATTGCAGATTGCGAGTTCAAGTTACAGGTAAGGTTAGAAGGTAAGCGCTACTTTGAAGAGGGAAGAGTGAGCGACAAGTGTGCGCGCATTACATCATGGTCGGAATCCAGGCAACATGAATCAAATTGACCGAAAGTCTTGGACTGATGTGCGCAATCTGTAGCTGGTGACAATATGGTCAATTTGGAGCTAAGTCATTGAGGAATTCGGTGGACACCAGGTGACACGGTGTGAACGTTTGTGCTGGAAAGCAGTGTGGCTGTGGTCAGCGAACAGTTTCAAGAGTCGATCACCATTGTCTGTTCGGCGCGCATCGACTCCGAATCGGTCGCCTAGGTGTTCATAGACAGAAAGACGATCCACTTGGAAATACGTCACCATCAAGATATCAGTATACTTCGCCATGCGGTGACGAGAACCATTGATCAAAATCGTCTTTGAGAAGCTGTATCACTGGAATAAGATCTGTGAACGGAAGGGGTTGAGTACCTGGATGACGGCAATAAACTCGAGGGAAGGAGTACACACCAATTCGCTAGAACAAACGGATTGACGAACGAGCAGGTAGGTGTCAGTAGGACGCTAATGCTCGAAATCCATGCTCCGGTGCGCAGTAGTGGCTGCACTGAGTCCACCACAAACTGTGAAGGGAGTGGTCGTGATACGGTGCAACATGGAGATGAAACGACCGGGTATGAATCGGCCTAGGAATGAAACTACGCAACTTTGCACACATGAGCCGGGGTGTTGCCAGAAAGCCAAGAACTAGGCAGAGGTGCACAGATCTGGAATAAGATACTAATACATCCTCTTTCTGGCTGAAGTTCCTGTCACCCTATTCGTACATGCGAAGTCCAGTGGAAAACGTGTATTGGAGGATGAAAGCGTCGGCGATACACCTGCTAACTAACCCGACACCTGACCAGATGCTAAGTGCGGTCATTCAAGAGAGCGATGGAACGATAACACAGCAGGACTGCACAAGCTGCCTTCCTGATATGATGCCGGACACAACAAAGGCAGCAGTGTGACAGACTACCATTAATTGACTGCTCTCGTTAAAATACCTGTTATATTTTAGAGGATTCGTTTTCAAACCAAAATGTTGGGTTCAGCATGTAGGAATACAGCATGTACGGAGAAGCCGAGAGCGTAAGCCTGACGGATTACAATTGTTGTGGCACTGTCGACGCGGTCTGGCTCAAACTGGCACTTCTTGTATATGATCTTTAGCCTTATGAGGGCGGATTTCGTTCTCTTTTAGTTGCTGCTGTATCTGCACCTAAGTGTCATCCGAATGTGTCCAAAGATATCCTCTATGTGTTGCCGGCCCGTAGCCTTAAGGATCACAAAGCTGCCTTGTAATTCGAGGGCGTGGGTTCGAGACCGCGACTCTCGCAGTATCCTTAGCCCACCTGTGACTGGTGGTGGTTGCGCGGCGGCGAAGCGGTATTGCCTACCGGCGTACTGCTGGTACCTTCTTTTCTTTTTTCTCTCTCTCGTTTCTTACACTATTGCGTTGAGTAATTGCACCTTCTGGCTAGTATGCATTGATAGTGTTTTTGCCGTGCTCTCGTTGACACCCGCGACTTCCGCAAACCCATTAGGGTGCTTTGACCGTCGCGACGAACAACACGCTAGCTGCAGGTGGAAAATACCTCAGGTATTGTGCCGCAGTACAAAAGAAAATAAAAAGTGAAAGAGGCACGCCGGCTGAGTCACCAGTAACGGATGGACGTCGTTCCGGAGAACTAACGAAAGCGCGGTAGGGATCTTTTTCTGCATCAGTGACATTCGCTTGCACTGGCTCTGAGATGCGTCTTCTCATTGTTCATTGCTCCTTTCGTGTAGCAGTAGACCAATAAAACTAAACAATATTTGGTGGAGACATAACACTGCTCTGGTGGTCGCGCAATTGCACATGTTCGTACACACAGGCAGACAATAGTCAAAAACAGATGGGGAGACAGGGAAAACTGGTTCACCGACACTCATGATCAAGATAAGGGCTTGTATTAGCGTGAGAACATCCAGTCGCCTTACTCCCCATTTCTGGCTAACAAAGTGAATTTCTGTCTAAGATAAACTATCCGGTTCGGTTCGCAGAATGTCCAGTTTAAAGTAAAGACAGTATGGAACCATCCGACTATTGTTGGCGCTAAACGTTAAGGATGCGATTTGCGCCATAACGATGTGGTCCCAACTTGAGAGCGTTCAAGGCTATCGGAGCAGATGGAATGGACAGTTTTTCTAACTTCTAGATTAAGCTTCAAGTTTTCGTGCGCCAGAAATAGCTGTGACTGATGTCAAGGTTCAATATAAGAAAATGAACCTAATTATCTAGATTTAATGACGAAAGAATGCACAGATGAGTGTTCGTGATAAACATCACATCAACAACCTAGATTCACGCTGTAAAAACCGGTACCACGTATCGATTCAAGTTGTTTTGAACGATGCTGCCTGAGGGACAAAAGCTATCAGAACAGCGAGGAGGTGCACTAGGGAAAACGACTGGAGACACTACATCCATGTGAATCGTCTAACCGGCAGCCACCCGTTTAAGAATCATGCGAGCAAATCAGTGCGTGTGCTTATTTGTGATGAATCCAGGGGAGTACAAAAACCGCGTTATTCGTACTGAGACACGGTGTATTGGTGAAAAGCAGCTTCGCTTCATCGTTTGCTGCCTTTTCTAATTGTGTGGCTGATAGACAAAACGGATTTAATGGATCGTTTTCGAGATAAACGCACAAAGACGGTCTTGTGAAGTTGTTTTGAAAACTTGGGAAGAATAGAACAGAGAGAGAATGCAAGTTCAAGGGTTAAATATACACACGTATAGGTAAGCGAGGACAACTCGAAGCCGATGTGAGCTAGGGTAAAGTAGAAGGGTTGCGGTCACTACGTCGCATACGGTGGTAAGACTTAACAGAAGTGGCATTGAGTGAGAAAAACCAACCGATTACCAGTGGTATCACTCCAAACAATCATCGCTGTGTGAGAAGCCGATCAGTACACTTGTCAACCAAGACCAGCTCCAACTACGTAAACTATGGAGCAATCATGCACTTCAGAACCAATGCAATGAACATTATCCGAGTACAAACAAACAAGACTGGTCGCTTTTTCCATTTTACGCACTTCATTGATTTGGTTGCTCGGTCGCTGGCCGAAAAAAATGTGTGTCAGCGTTTTAATTTTGAGCTTACTGGTCCTAATCAGCCTAGGTGCTGCCGACCTCAAGGTATACCAAACACTCGCGTGATCGGTGGTCGTCGTGTGGCAGCGAACGTCGGTATGATGTGTCGGCGTACTGTTTATGCCATATTTTCTGTTCTTTTTCTGTCGAGATCAGGTTCTGTGCATCAATTATGACATCGAAAGACACCAACAGCAATGCAACAGCACTGGGTAATGATGTTTTGCTGCGATGCAACCGCAGAGAGGCGTACGAGAACTGAGATAATACTGCCGCAGTGCCAAAGTTTAGATAAGCTTTATGACACTAATGAGGAGTGGGTGGTATGTAGCAAGGTGAACTCACATTTGCCCTTATATCCCAACAGCATACTTTGTGGTCCAAGCCGCCAGTCCACAGGCGGTTCCCATCAGGTGTAAGTTCCACGCACGATGTACCGTCCATGTGACCGTGGAATTGGTGCACCACGCTTTGATTGTGTACGTCCCACACGGAAACGAAGCCGTCGGAGCAGCAGCTAGAGGAGACACCAAAAGTAATCGGCAGATCTCGATGAGAAGAGATAAACTGCCTTAATGCACAGATATGGCATGCGGACTTCAAATGAGGGAAGCGTATACTCCCAATAAGACATAAGCTGATCGCGTCAAAAAACCAAAGTATAAATCAAGACCACGAGAAAGTTGGGGAAGGAGCGGTTACCAAAGATGACAGAGGGGTAAACAGGGAAATTCCTATTCAGAGGTGCCGAAACTCGAATCGACTGTTTCATTGTCAACTATCAAATGATTAGAATGCTCGCGGCTCTGAAGATGGGCATTGGCATAAGGGCTGGTTTACATAGACACACTAACTTCGAGTAAAGCTCACTGCTTGACTGCGGCCGGCAGAGTCAGCGGCTACGCACAATAAGACACGAAAGGATTATCTTATCGCGTTGCGTTTTCGGTTCGTATTGCTACTGACGCTCAAACTTATGAACATCGGTATATCCGACACATACAATATCGATCGGATGGAGAAATTTTGCAAAATCGCCTACTTCACATAGAAACACGTAGGCTGAAACGTGCTAATTTCGAGTCACCAGGGTCTGAGTCTATCGCGTGTAGGATGAAACATGCACAGGGAGCTACAATTAACCGAATCAACCATGACCCAATCATCAAAAAGCGCAAAGTCCAGTTATTGTAGTGGCTTTTGTCGTGGTGTATTAGTAAGTGATGGAGTGCAAAGTGACAGAGAAAAATGGTCTTATGAAAGGTTGAGGTTATTAACCATAGACAACAGCGACATGAACTTCATGAATATGAGATTCAAACGAGTTTCCTGGTCACTAAATTGTCTGATCTGGAAATATCAGCCGGAAGTTGCCGACAAACACTTTAGAAGCTTTGGCTCTAGTGGCCAACATTGTCCTCTGCAAAGTTCACAACCTGTATGGCGGTGGGGACTGAATCTCGCGATTCGCAGTTTACTCGAAAATCATAACGGCCTGTCAATGGCACCCATGGCTTAGGTCTCTGGCGTCGAAAGGTCGTGGGTTCGTTTCCTGGTGGATTCGAAAGTTACGCACTATCAACGCATCCTAGTGAGGAAACGACCGTCTAGTGCTTTTCATAGGGGAGGATAATTATCTGAATCCAAGCTAACTGTGAAGAAATGTCAATAACACAACAAATCCTCAAATAACCCGCTACTATTCTCTGGTGGTTCGTGTTTCGGAATGTGAGAACGCGTTTGGTAACTAGCAAAGTGACCGTTAGACGATGCAGTTCCAAAAGACTGAGTTCGAGCAAGTTTGTAACGGGAAAACTTGCGTGATTGAACGTACCTGTAGCATAATCTGCCGTTGGGAGACAGAGCTAACGCGTAACATGCAGGTGCTTCGAATGTGAGTTCGGCTTTGCGTCGCCCGGGGCCATTCAAGTCCCATAGAGTCAAAGCGTTTGATTCACCGCCAATCACAAGTTGCGTTGCATCCTTTTGGGGTAATAAAGGAAATTGAAAAAGCAGTAAATCGTAAGTACAACGAATAAGCTTTTACATGAAGAAACGGAAATCCACCTACTAACCTTGATGAAAGAAGGAAAAGTGAGTAACTACCATGTATGACCTAAGAGTGAGTACTACGTATGGTGGTGGACTGGTGACAGGACTGGCCAAGGAAAGCATGCACAAAAGACAATGTAGTTTGATCCGAAAACGTACCGGGAAAAGCTTTATGGACCGCACATAACTATCCTGGCAGAGGCAGTCGAACGTGGCCAATGGAGCAACATCACGGGAAGACATACCAGACAGTGCAGAAGCACTAATTGTGGCAAGATCCCACAACTTCACACTGCCACGAGCACCGGTATAAGCAAAATGTGACGCCACGGATGACATGACAGCAGAACCGGGAGATTCAGCGAGACTCTCTGCGTCGCTCGCCGCGCTCCCAAGCCCACGGCACAAATCGGAAGCGATGCCGAATGAGGAGGAACGTCCGACGGGACACGCCCCGATGGTGACCGCGCAAACAACATCCCCATGAGGCAAAGTGGCTAGATGTTGTAGACGACGTGGGAGACCCGCAGCTGAAACAGCGCCGGGAGCGGAGGCCAAAGCACACGGCCTTGTCTGGCCATTGGGGAAAACCACAAAAGAGTATGCTCCCGGACCGGAGGTACTGCGTGCAAAAAGATAGAGCAGATGAGGTAATGTTGAAACTTTTGACCAGCACGATGCGATAAGCGGACGTAGAAGCTGACACAAAAGACGAATAAGTAGGTCAAAGGAGATTTGTATATAGATGTCCTTAGTCTAGTAATCTTGCGGCGCGGGTTCGAATCAGCGTAGAGCGTCCTCACGGTATATTCAGCCCGCGTGCCACTAGTGGTGGTCGCACGTTAGCGAAGCGCCGTTACGCCTTGCAGCTGACACATTATTTATTTTATATTTGAACGTATATAATGGTTATTCAGGGAGATGCATCAAACGGGTGCCAAAACTAGCACTTGATGATGACAAGGAAGAAAACTGAAACTGAAATCATTAGTGTTTCGAAAAATGCAACCCATAGTAGACGGAAAAATTCTGATTCCAAATGCAACTTGCGAATTCTGCGTAAACGACATATGTTTCAAGACTAGTGTGTGTAGGTGCAGGGAGACAGGTATAACTGAACCAGTGCATAATGCAACTGGTCATGGTAATAAGCCAACTAAATGAGCAATTGAAAAACTCGTGGTAACCCAACTCGTTCCTTCAAAGTACGATTGAGGTAGGTCCGCTGGAAGGATGAGGCCAAAGCGGCATAAGAGCCATCGAGTGCGGATGGAGGAAATACAGGTAAAAGGAACCTGCATTATCAGGATATAAGCAAAAGGTGTTTATCAAGGACAGACCAAATTCTGGGGTTATGGATGGGGCGAGTGCGGATGATTAAGGGTCTGGCAAAATGGGACAGTGGAGAGCCAGTGGAAAGTAAAACGACTGGTGTGCAAGTCCGACGGATGGCAAAGGGAAAGCATCAGCAGTACGCCGGTATGGGAGGCGAATAGGGAGCAAAAGTAGGATTCACGGGTTCGATATAATTTCCGGCACACTCCGACTTTGGCTTCGGCGCAAAGTAAGAGAAGTATCATAAAGGACCGCCGTTCCATCGAGTGGAACGCGGACAAAGTCGTTGCCTCACGACGAGGATGAGTCAGAACTAGCTGGAAGATGGCTCACATTGCAAGCTACACATAGCGCACTTTATATGACGGCAAGTTGTGACACGGGGAATAGACAACAATAGATCAGCAGACGAATACTGGGAGTTGCGTGCTCACAACAATGTACACTCCACGACCGATTCGCACTCGGTTGCGCTTCTCAGTAAGTTGCCGTACAGTAGCGCTGCGACTGGAACACGGTACGTAAGGATGACAAAGCTGTTACCTCTAAGCTATCGGGTCACACGACGGGTAACGCTTGTCACAAGAGTTAGTGACTTTATTGAATGGGTCATTTTGAAACAAACATTCGTGCGTCGCAATCTATTCACGTCACTAGTGCTTAGAAATGACCCCGAAACCAGTACGTCAGTAATTTAAAATGATGCTTTGCCACTGCATAATGAATAAAGAGGTGTAAGGCGGTACTTCGTACTAACATCTCGCTGTGAGGCCACAACTAACAGTCGCGCGTGAGCAGGGACACGGTGGGATGGTTCGCAGTGAAGTTGGTTCGAACGGGGATACGCAGATTATAAGGTGAACATCTTTTACCATTAGGCCACCGGCCGACATTGAGTAGTAATAAGAAGAGATGGGAGGTCTGATGTAAAACGTAAACGCTTTGTGAAAACATAGCGTTTAGGTGTCTCTACGCCTAGCCAGCGCTACAAGGACACAACGAGGCGCTATCAATCGTGTAAGAGAGTAAGGTGTCAGTGACGAGAGTTTCTTACGGCACTTATTGCCCCTTATCGGAATCAACCTTGCCCCACAGAAAATATTAAATGCAGATCAAGATGGCAGTCAAACTAGCCGGAGGCTACAAGTGCATCAGGTGTGAACCACTTTCTTTTGTGTTCTCGAAACACAAGTATAGGGTGGATCACGTGGACTCCAGCAGGAGATGCGAGAAGCATCAGCAACACACAGCTCAGTTCCAGCTACAACGTCAACAAGTGTCCTCAGACAGACGAAACTAGGCCAGTCTCGGTAACTAATGGGCAAGAGCATAGGTAGCAGATACTTATGCCAACGCAAGTTATTCAGTCTTGTGTGTTACTCTTGGGAAATGACTCGACCACCGCCGCCTAGTACTTGCCTGAGTATCGCATCACACGCTGGCACCAATAGACACCTATCCCGGCAACTGCCTCACAAACGAGATTCAAACAAATGAGGAACCCGATGCGCACATGTACCAGGCCAGGAAGATGGCAAATATCAGTGGATGATGCGGCACCGATCAGAGGCATGTTACTACCCAAAGGATACGTGAAAAGAGTACTCGCATACGACCGTAAATGACAGCGACGGGTTGTCCACATGACGGTGGCAACGAGTGGAAGTGCTTAGGCGCTTCGGTTGGAGTTCACAAGTATTCTTCGAGCCGGACTCATGTTTGATAGAATATATTCATTGTATACTTGTCAAACGTCACTGTGATGGGGCCTTCAAATCGGCCGCCTGCGCTGAAACATCGTTTTTACGCCTGCTTGGTTACATACGTTTTTCAGGAACATTTAGACTTTTTCGATAAACCTCCAAGGTCACTGAGACTGTCTCATCTGGCGATAGCAAAAAAAAATGATAAATGGAAACTGAAAAAAAGTTTTTCAAATGCTTCTTGAACTGAAAAACCTTTTATCCTTAGGACCTTACAAGATAACGGTTATCTTGTTCCATTTATTCTGAGACACGCTCTGATGCGTGACCAAAGACAAAATATCGTAACTGTGCCAAAAGAAGAATGTTTATCTTACTGTTCCTTTTAAAGGAGATGTTCCCTTGGATTTGCTGAACAGAAGACTCCAAATTGCAGTGGCCAAGTCTTTCCCTGCTGCCTATCCCCACGTTATTGCTGAAACTGCCCCGTTTATAACTAAGCGTCTTAAGGATTGACTCCCGGTCCAGTCCGAATCTTTTATCCTATGTCGATTTACTTGCACCTGTGATATAAGATACCCCGGACACACGACCAGACGCTCGGCGAATCGGATAGCAGAACAGTGCCCCCCACCAGCGTTATCCAAGCACGCGGTCAAAAGGGCCAACAATCCTGTTTTGGAACATTTAGTCCAGAGCGGGCACCAAGTCGTGACGACAGAGGCTTTTAGTTTTATACGTTGTGCCGAAACACTACCCAAAAGGAGTCAAAAGTCGCCTACTCATGACGGCCGAGGCTATTTCGATCCGGCTGAGGCAACCAGAATTATGCAAGCAGAGGATGCTAGTTCAAGAGCTCCGTTTACCCTGGCCATAATTTTACTGTAACTCGCCGTTCTCCTCCAGCTCCGAAAGTGACCTTTTCACCTCATCGGACAGCTGAACCGTGGATCGAATACCAAAGCAGCCTGTTTGGACTTGACCAAACCTAGGCTTGCCAGTTTAGCCTATCACGATTTTAATCAGTTTTATATATGTATTGGCCTGATGAGAAATATCGAAAAGAAATTTCTTCGCTGAGCTGTGTGTTGCTATCTCTAGGGGCATATTTCACGAAAAACCCTTTATCCGACGACTCAAACGCTACGTATTTTTCTCGCTCAAGCTCTCTCTTGTTAATAATTACTGTCATGTGTGAAGACAAGTGGTTCTATCACTCTTCCGTTCGCGGACCATAGCTGATCAAATACACTAGCCGTGATCACAACCTTCGTAAACGTCATCTAGGAAACCGTACTCAATGCCTGCATGCAAGTTTCAACTACGGATAAACACAACGCGCATGATAGTGTTGTTAACCATACGATAGCATTATGGTAGCTTAGGGACACTAAACGCTATTCAGTAAGTGCGAATCATCCGTAAGCACAACAGATACAACGTTTGGCTTTTGCAAGCACGCTGTCGGATCAACTCAGACCGAGTGGACAAGGCGTCTGGCATGTAATCCAAAGGTTCTTGGTTCAACCCTGCATAAATGCGAGTGATATCACGATATCTCCAGTCCGCGTGCGACTGGTGTGGTGAATATGTGGCAATGTAGCGTCGGTTGACCTTGACGTCCTTATCAAGGAAGATGGAAAGCACGAGGGTTGCAAGCGTTTTGATCAGCTACTATACGCCCATTGCTGTGGTACCGAGTGGATACTTCAAACAACAAGCCGAGTGTCGGCACGATTGGTAATCACGTAAAGAACAAGATCCAGAAGCGTAAACAGTTCAGCACACCACCGGTTGCAAAAACACTGATGGAGTTCTACAGCATATGTCCCGTACTTAGGCTGGATTTGGACAACGTCTCGTGGATCCGGACACTCAAACTATATTCGAAAAGTGCAGCCACCGTGCGCGAAGTGGGACACTGCTTGTGATCCCTAAAGTTTACCACTACAACATATAGCTGCATTGAAGATGGATGTTTTACTCCAGTGTCAGAATTGCCTTGTTATCGGACGTTCAGCTTAACAAATCGGTCAATGTGCATTGATGAGGCGTCGAAACTGGCCTGCTGACAGAATGCTATATGAGCCGGTGACATGAATCATTATCCACATCATTTTAAACTAGTAAACAGCTAGATCAAAAAGCTATCAGCAGTACGCCGACACACCTTAGCGAGGCCGCTCGCAATCAGGTGGATACGAAACGGTGATCTTTGGATTACGAGGTAGACACCTTATCCTTTTGGCGACCAGTCGACAGTGAACAGCCAGAGTAATCAAACACACTGATGGATGTCCACCATGCTGGCAACGTTGTTTGCAATATGTAACAACAACCCGAAAGAGGATATCGATACGCAGCTCGGTCGGCAACCACTCTACCGCATTTACGTAAAGAACAGGTGAACGCCTTGCTGTAAGTTAGTATTTATTAAAGAAATTGATCTGTAGACCCAAATACAGCGTTCTCTTCAAACAGCGGTGAGGATAAGGGGTGAAAAACAAAGGAGCAGTTTGATGAAGGTTAAAAGTAGGTAGAACAGTGGACTCTTACAAGACTGACAAGCTCAGTTCGAACAAAAGCGCGAAGCGTCCAGAGAGAGAGTAAATATAAGGCTTTAAAGTGATCGGTTTTGAGGACGCCTTTGGATGAAAAATTGACCCAACCAGAGTGAAAGTAACCATACAAGCAGAAATCGGTCAATAAAACAGAGTACTCACGTTTTGCTTGAGGGTCGCCAGCGGGAAACAGATGAGGCTTCGGATGCCTGCTGTGCAAGAAGGTAGGCGATAACATATGGACGAGATCAGAACCAAAAAAGTTCAGCTGGTCAGACGGATGAAACTAATAGGTTCGTTACAATGGCAAACCAGACATGTAAATTGAGATCATGCGCATAGGCAAGTAGTGCATAACGATAAATATAGAACACATAAACACGCACAAAAATCCAAGCTGTGATAAAAAGAAGCCGACTAAAAGCCTGGAAATCATAAATCACGGATCCTCTGTGGGAGAAAAAACGGCCAAGTTTATTTCAGTGTGATAATGCGATAGCCGCTAACATCGGTCGAGGGAGACCTCGGCTCGTTACTTGCCACAGTCTGTCTGTGGCATAAAAAGCCTACAGACACAAAAAACGAAACATTAAACGCGCCCTGGCAAATCAAAGAGCGGTGTATATTTTTTGTCTTATATTGAACCAAGATAAGGACAAAATTGTTTTTTTTGGAAGCGGGTAGAATACTCAAGGCAAAGTTAGACATTCCATCGGTTCACGGTCCTACGAAATAAGTATCAAAAGGGTGGGTGAGCGTGGCGAAAGGAGGCGGGGACGGTATTGCATGAGGTACAGCATGCTTATCAGTTGAGGTAAAACTTGCTAGGACGAATGGAGTACCCCAAAGAGTCTCAGCGATGACCAAACTCACATGGGACGATCGACCGGAGCCACTGCCGGCGGAGCCCCCAGCGGGAGCACTTGAGGTGGTTGGGTAGCACGCGTTACAATCTGATCCGAGCTGAGGACTTGAAACTGAATCGAAAGTAACAAAAGCATGTTGCAGGTTTGATGAATTCAAGTGGGGAAACGGACAGTTAGCTGAATAGCAGTCAAGTAATGTAGGAAGACAACGGTAAACAGTGAGCCTAAAAACCAGGTTTTCTTGGGATCAGGTCTAGTGGACGAAAGCGGTGGCCAATGATCAGAACCAAAAGACCGGCCGGTTACTTATGAAGAAATGACTGCAACGGCAAAGTGATTGCGTTCAGGTGGTTGCTCATGGGAAAGAGATTGTCCAGGTATCGACTTTTTTTCGTTATGAGGCAGGACACATACAAGACAACGACAGAGGACTATAAAATCAGAATATCCAACTGCATAAAAGATGTGAGCAGTTGTATATAATCGAAATTTCAGGCAACGTAGTAACACAGATAGATAACGGCAAAAGGGCCTAACCAAAAAGGCGTTTTGAAAGGGAATAGGCGCCTTGTTAAGATGGACATAAAAACGCGCGTCATAAAGCACAGAAACAAGCATCTGGTCAGAGACGAGGGCAAACAAAATTGTTAGGAGATGAAGCAATTTGTGTGTGTGTGTGTGTGTGTGTGTGTGTGTGTGTGTGTGTGTGTGTGTGTGAAACTTATGCAACAGTGTACATTAAGGAAAAACCAGCTTCATTATGTGCGAAAAATCTAGATAGAAGACATTCAAGGGGACGGTTTAATTGCTGCCCATAATGTACGGTGGACAAGCGCTCCTTCAGTCAGTGTGCGGTTCCTTGTATGAACTTGATGAGGACATCATGTGAGGATTGGAACGCATTTAAACGTGTTCGGAAACGTGATAAGACTATCTCTCGCGCCTCGCATATACATGTAGTTAGAAATATTGCAGGACGCATAGAACAGGAAGGGGTATCGTGTGGTGAAGGATTAGAGTTAAATCAAAAACATGGCGCAGCATCAGTTTAAGGCAGCGGTCACGTATGCCTGAGCTGAAATGCGGATCATTGCCAGAACAAACTCGTGGTGAAAGACACGCGGTGAGTTCGACTGGCTCCAGAAATCGTTTTTCACTAAGAAGAGTAACAAGGTGAACAAAGATGAGCTATTCGGTTTGTCATGGCGTAGGAGGATGCTAGCGCCTCTATTGAGCGGAGCAAGATGCATGTAGGAGTCGACGGAGTAAAGAAACTTTCGCTCGAGTTTCATCACATGCTCGGATTTCAAGACACAAAAGCTATTTGTCCAATACATTAAGCCGAAAGGAAAAGGCGCCTGTCTTGTGTAATCCGAAGATCACCGGTTCGAATCTGCATAGACGCGGGCGACTTACACAGGCCACGCGCGACCTGTGATTGTTCCGTAACAGCGAAAGGCCGATACGGTGTGCCGGCCTCTCCAGGAGCAACGAATAAAGATTGGAGCACAGTGCTCTATAACAAGTAATCCCATGCTTCGCCAATATACCGATTTCGGCTACCATAGAAAATTAACGAGGGGTGAGGCAGACTGTTTCGTTCATAGGGAGGAAAGAGCCCACGAAAAATCGACTCATTATAACGGTCGCTGGACGATAATTCATAAGAAAAAGAGGAATCAGTTAAAGATACGATTCAACAAACTGCGATAAAGTAAGCACCAGTAAATCACCTCAATTGACTGTTAACGAAACCCCGTCGCAACGAGACTGGACCTTAACGTGATGCGACGGTTTGTGGACCTCATCGACCCACTGAGCTAACTGGGTGAGGCCCCCAAACCCCTACTAGGTTGGTCAATGGTTAGAGGTCCGATCAACTCCGTCTCCTGATCCTCCAGGCTGGGGGGTTTGAAATGGGGTGGCATTCATTTCTGTAAAACGTAATCATTGTCACCATTCCGCTGCCTTTTGGACAGGAATTTGAGCCATACACTTGGGTTGAGAACCCTAATCGTCCTTCTGTCTAGGTCTGGGCGCCCTGGCAGAATCTCAGCCCACGTACAACCATGATTATTTCCTTAGAATTCTACCACATCCTGCATCGGCCGTCACGCAGATTATTAAGGGTCGCTTTATCTGCTACATACAGCAGGGCGAATAAGCAAAAACATGCTACTTCTGGTACCTTCCTTCTTTCCTTTCCAGTTTTTCTTAATCCACTCCCAATCCCATTACTGGCCATGCTTCTATAATTCCCAGCTTAAATGACAGCCGTTGCAGTTCCATTGGAGTCGAACAATTTGCCGCTACCTTATCGCAACAACCACTGGACGCCCATCGGCCATACTCCCATTTCCCTGGTGGCGTACAACATCCGCACTCTAAGAAAAATGATCAACAGGTTGCACCAGAAGCATGTTGGAAACATTGGGTATTGACGTGTGTTGTGTGTGCGAAACTAGGATCAATGAGCTTAATGGAGTAGTTGAATTAACTGCGCCCGGCTTGTCCTTTCTCTATTGGTTGCGCACATCCGAAGACGCTGATGTTGCACTCACGAGTCAAGCTGGGGTAGATACGGTTCTCAGCTCCAAGGCTGAGTCATCGTTGGTTGATTAGATTCCGATGAACGGCAGTTTGTGTGCAGCCCGTTTGACGTCAAGTATGGTTGATTCACGAAGTAGCACAAGACGCTGCTTGTTTGTGGCTTCCGCTTATGCTGTCACCGACTGTGGTTCTGATGCTGCCGAAGACACATACTACCACGAACTGAACCCACCACTACGCAGTTTTACAAGTTCAGATATCATAGTACTTGTAGGGAATATGAATGCTCAAGTAGAGCGACTGAGCTTTTCAGAAGCTCAACTAGGCCGTAAGTAGGGGCTACTCTTTAAACGGACTGACAATGGCGAGCGACTGTTGCAGCTGTGTGCGGAGCATCAGCTGTTTCTTGGTAGCACCGCTTTTAGACACAGTAGGCGCCGAAGCGCCACTTGGCGTCCACTTGTAACTAGCCAGTAATGGACCCAAATAGATCAGGTTACAGGTGGCATGGTTCTATCCTGGATTGTCCCTCGTCCTGGAATACCTACATCGACTGTGATCATGCCTTGGTGCGCTGTCGCTTCTCCATGAACTTTACCACGAGGTGCAGCAATCCTCCCCGAGTGGCAATTGAGAAAGTATCTAAGGGCACGTTTTGCGAATGAAAGCCCATCGCCTTCCACGTCGAGCGCTATTTGCGCTCCCAGGAAGCGATTGGGAAAAGTGCCGCGGTGGACAGCCAATGACGTGGAGAAGGAGCATGAAGGCAACATCAAGTTTGGCGGCAGTCGCACCAGTCCATCTTCCAGGTTGGGGACCACGAGATGCTGAATCCCAGTGGCTGGAAACATTGGATGTCATGGCCCGCAACAGACATCAGTGGGAACCATGGACATTGTTGTGTTGTGTTTTATTTTACTGTTTCTGTACCTTCGTTTGAATCCCATGGTTTCTGATGGCATTATGTCTGTTAACAGGCTTTTGCAAATATATATATATATATATATATATATATATATATATCAGTGGGGTCAATATTGTTCTTCCATCTTATCTCCCCTTTGACGCACAAAAATCTAACGAAACAAAAACCAAAAAATCAAAATGGCGTGTGTAAAATCAAAAAAGGTTTTTCCTTCTTATATCGCAGTTCGTGGTTGGCGGCATCCGGTTTCGGATTTGCCTGTCACTGTGGACAGCCACAGGACACCAGCGCCTACAGAGGGACCATGGGTGGCTTGCACTGCACCACCAACAGCTCCATCCACACACCCCATATCCAGTGTAAACCCGAAGGAATAAGACCGGGAGGCATGTGGATGGGAGCCACGTTTCATCAACGGAGCCGGCCCACACTCTTCACAGGCGAACACAAGCACGCTGTATTTGGGGAATCAAGCGCACACAAGACGGTGGCTGGACCGTAGTCCGCTCCACACTGAGTTCATGGAACCACTCTTCGAGCCTAGCACGGCCACAAGGACTGTGCACCCCGGCCCCTCCAGCAACGACCAACTGTCTCCTGGAGCCAGTATGGACGAGGTAGGGGGTAAGAGACAGGTAAGCACCTTGTCAACATGCATATCAAGCGCAGCCACACCGGAGATATTAAGCAACAGCCAATCTTTTGAAAGATAACAACAACGAGTAATGCATAAGGAAACGGTGACATAAATCTTAAATGAATGAGCACATGAAATAAGTCGTTTACAAAAGAATCCGAGATAAGTTCACGAGATCGGAAAGTATTTTTTACGGAAATGCCATATATATATATATATATATATATATATATATATATATATATGTATAATCGCAACACTCGTTCAGGCAAGCCTCCCAGGATGCACTGCGTACCGAAGTTTCGCTGTCTTGTCCTAATGGCACTGAGCTTCAGTAGAATAGGATCTCGCCCGTCATGCACAGCGCAGGAGCAGCTGCTTGTAGCACTATCAATCGTCATCGCACTAGTCACTGGATATTCGAGAGGTCGGTAAGTCCGTTGGAATACAGAAGAAAACTTCCGGCTGTCTCTGAGCACAATGTGACGAGACGGACTATTAGGCATGAACTAAAGCGGAGTCTGCGTGCTGACAAGGAAACCTGGTGGACCAGTTGGGCTCAAAAAATGGAGGAGGCGGTAGCAGTAGGTAATTATCGCAAGCTCTTCCAGATGATCCGCGTCACCGGTCTCAGGAAACCAGGCGTCAGTGAGAGAATCAGAGACAGCGCGGGTGCACTGATACACAATAACGGGTGCCGTATGGCTCGTTGAGTGGAGTACTTTCAAGATCAGTTCAGCTGGTCCCCTGCTTCCGGACGTTTTCCTATTCAGGTGATGCAGGATGGACGGTCACTTTAGAGTCTCCGTAAGAGACTGAGCTCCGAAGAGCGATCACAGCTTTTAATCATTTTCGTGCTGCTGGCCCGGATTCCCTCCCACCTGCACTAGTTAAGGATTGGGGTGAGGTCCTCTGCAAAGCACTGAACTCCCTATTCGTGCATATCTGGAAGTACCCCGGCTAACTGGAATGAATCGATTATAATGGCAATATACAAGT